GCACTTTGCATGCATTAACTTCTTTAATCTTTATCAAAACCCAGTGAGGTAGGTACAATTGATACGGACATTTTTTCAGATGAGAAAAATGAGGCACTGAGCAATTAAGTAACTGGCCCAAATTCACACAGCTTATAAGTGGCAGATCTGTGCTTTGAACCTTGGTCAGGCTGACAATGTTTGCTGTTATGTGACTTATTGGTCCTTGTTTAACTTACTGCTGTACTCAATAGGGTTAATGCATTGCCTTGCACATAATAGGCATATTATGCTTTGAATAAATAACTGAAATGTTGACTGTAAAGTGCTTTCCATTTAAGCCCAATTACTATTAAGCATACAAATCGAGCGTCATAAAATGTAGATTCACTTTGCTGTAAATTTTATTCTGTTAAAGTAACAGAATAAAAACAATTTTTTTTACAGCACATACGTGTGCATCCTTCAACGCTGCGATTTGAGGAAGCCACCCCGCTCTTCATCTCCCAATCTTCCAATCCATTATGGATCTGATGCCTGCAATTCTACCGTTAGAAAACTATTCTTTTGGTTGTAGGCTACCCCTATAGAGGTAGCGCTGTTTACGCTACAGTAGTGAGAATTTCTAAGTGATTTAGGAGATTTATCCAGATCCACCAATGGGAGGGTGAGGAGAGCAGGCAGGGGGCGGGGCCGCGCGGAGGGGTCGCTGGGGAGTGAAGGCGCCGGGCTTTAGCGCAACGAGTGCTTTGGCGGAAGATTTCTAGAGAAGCGCCAGGACAAAGTCGGGGGAAGGGCTCACGAGACAAGCTTCCAGGTGTCGGGCCAGCCAGCGCCCAGGGGGAGGCCAGCGCCCAGGGGCAGGCCAGCGCCCAGGGGGAGCCCAGCGTCCCGTCGCGTCTGTTCCGGGAGTAGAGGCGCTGGACGCACCAGGAAGTGACTCTCCCCAGCGGCTGCGATGCGGACCCTTAGCTGATTTTGTCGTTAACCGCCTCCGGTTTGTAAGAAGATTTATAGGTTACGAAGGTAAGAGGGGTACGTGGAGTGTCCGAAAACCCGATTTATCCCCTGCAGTAGAGAAAACTGTTTACTGCGCCAGGCTGCCTCCTGGGCGCGGAGTTGGGAAGGCAGGCGAGGTGGGGGAGGGGACGACCGGACGCTGGCTGCATGTGGTCGCATCCAGCTCTGTGTCCGCCTGTGTTCTGACCTCCCCCTGTTCCCCTTGTCGGCTCTTCTGGCCCTGCAGCCCGCCGAAGTTCAGTGGTAGCCTTTCCTAGTGTCTCTTCCTCGTTACCCTTCCAAACACGGTGGGCAGAACTTGCCCAAAGAAGAGAGGGATGGAAGGGCTGGTGAAGGGGGTCTGGTGGGGGAAGGAAGGACCTGACTGCACGTGGGCTGCAGTCAGGACGCAGCAGTACCCATCTGTCCGTCTGGTTTAGCCAGGAACCATGTCTGGGGCCAGGCCAGCTGCAAGAAGGGTGAACGGAGAGTGTAAGCAGGATCCTTTTCCGTGGGTGAACATTTGCTCCAAGGAGATCCTTGGCTCTGTGAGGATTAAACCTACTGCATAGTCTCTGCTTTGAACCTCTCTGAGCATGTCAGGCTGGTTAGCTATTCAGCCCTAGAGAGTTAGTATACCTTGCTCTCTGGCAGCTCTGGACCTTGGGTCTCTTTCTGATCAATTCCTGAGGCAGAAATAGAGCAGCTGTCACATTCTTTTTTTTTTTTAACCCAAGCATTTATTTAAAACAGGAAACACTATAAAAACAAAATATAACTCACTTTGGCTGGTATTACTATACTGCCTTGAAAACTATATTTCACTTGAGAAATTACTAAGTATGATGAGAGGCTCTTTACCAGGAGAGATGTCTGGTTGGCACCCTGAAATAGTAGAGTCCTATTGTAGACTATATCTGACCATTTGGAGAAATGTAGAAGGACAAGGGGTACAGGGCAAGTGGAGCACAGTCATGGTGGCAGTCACCAGGGAGAGGGCCCACACTCACAAAAAGTCTAAATATCATGGGATAGAGATAGCTGTACTCAAATTCCTCAGCTCCCCTGCCCCTCTGCCAACCCCCAGTGGGCCTGCAGTTTCCTTCTTCCTTCCCTGCCAGCTGGAGGGACAGGGCCCCTTTCCTGGAAGAGCACCACTCTCTCCACCTGTAGTGTGGGCCTCCTCGGTGCCCCTCTCCGTACCATTCTTTATTCTTTGTCTCCTGCCCCTTCACTCATTCCTTTCTCTGGTTTTGCTTTTCAGATATACACATCTGTCTCACTTTGGACAAAGGTCTACCACAGGTCACACATTTGGTAGTATTAACAGGTGGTCCTGAGTGGGCCTTAAGTTCACCACACTCCAGCAGGCACTGAGGTTAGGAGAGTTTGCGTGTGTGTGTTGTTTAAGTTTCCACGTAATTGTTCTTACGCTCACAGCACTCGCATGCATTATATCTCACCAGATTTACAGGTTGGACACATTAAGGCGCAGAGAAGTCAGGTGACACACTTCGAATCAGAGCCTGAGGGCAGGGCAGTGACACATGTTGAACAGCTGCTGTGTTAGGCACAGACCTGAGTGCTTCCTATATATGAGCTCATTTAATTCTTACCACAACCCTGAAAGGTAGGTGTTACCAGTCATATTTTTATAGATGGTGACACTGAGATTCATAACACTTAAGTAACTTGCCCAGAGTCACAGAGCTAGTGAGAAGAAGAGCTGGGATTAGAACATGGCCCCAGAGCCCATGTTCTTAACGACGTGTCCCTTCCTGGGAGCTGGGTGGTGTGTGTTATTGTTAACATCTGAACTCCGGGCCAGCTTAAATTTATTCTGTTAGAAATTTGAAATCCTCAGAATGCTTCCAAGCTATGACAGTTACTTTCTTTAGTAATTTGTAAACATACAAAATACTGTATGGGCTAAATATTACAGCACCCATATCAGCATCCTCTAAATTATGTAGTGATCATGCATACTAATTTTACAGTAATAGAGGGAGCCATGGAAGAATCTTTTTAATTTTTAAAATAAATTTATTTATTTATTTATTTTTGGTTGCATTGAGTCCATGGAAGAATCTTTGTTAATAAACCTATTCCATACGTTGGACTTGAAATGTATTTCATTATGAATTAAGGTATGACTTAACATTGGGATGAAATCCAAGGTAGAGGGCAAGGGCAAAAAGGTAATTTCATGGCAGATCAGTGAGGTGTCTGGCCAAGTCCATTCATGTGTCCTGGGTACTCAAAATAGTTAAACATCAATGATCAGTCACCATTAGGTAAATAGGCAACAACAGAGAGTCCTGTGTTGGAGGAAGAGGGGTTCCTTCCTCTTTCCAAAGTGAGGCCCTTCACCTGTTCTAACTCTTCCAGCTTTTGACTCATAGTTACTCCCACTATTCCTTCCCCCTGCTCCCTTTAATATTGCCACCCCCATTCAGTCCCATACTGTCTTTAAACATCATGACAGTTGTAATTAACATGTATTGAGTTTTTCCCAGGCACTGGACACTGCTCAGAGCTTTACAAACATCTTGTCTATTTAATCTTCTGCTGAGTGCTTTTTTTTTTAACATCTTTATTGGAGTATAATTGCTTCACAATGGTGTGTTAGTTTCTGCTTTATAACAAAGTGAATCAGCTATACATATACATATATCCCCATTTCTCCTCCCTCTTTTGTCTCCCTCCCACCCTCCCTATCCCACCCCTCTAGGTGGTCACAAAGCACTGAGCTGATCTCGCCGTGTGTGCTATGCGGCTGCTTCCCACTAGCTGTCTGTTTTACGTTTGGTAGTGTATATATGTCCATGCCACCCTCTCACTTTTTCCCAGCTTACCCTTCCCCCTCCCCGTGTCCTCAAGTCCATTCTCTACATCTGTGTCTTTATTCCTATCCTGCCCCTAGGCTCTTCAGAACCATTTTTTTTAAGATTCCATATATATGTGTTAGCATACAGTATTTGTTTTTCTCTTTCTGACTTAACTTCACTCTGTATGACAGACTCTAGGTCCATCCACCTCACTACAAATAACTCAATTTCGTTTCCTTTTATGGCTTAGTAATATTCCATTGTATGTATGTGCCACATCTTCTTTATCCATTCATCTGTCAGTGGACACTTAGGTTGCTTCCATGTCCTGGCTACTGTAAATAGAGCTGCAGTGAACATTGTGGTACATGACTCTTTTTGAATTATGGTTCTCTCAGGGTATATGCCCAGTAGTGGGATTGCTGGGTCATATGGTAGTTCTATTTTTAGTTTTTTAAGGAACCTCTGTACTGTTCTCCATAGTGGCTGTATCAATTTACATTCCCGCCAGCAGTGCAAGAGGGTTCCCTTTTCTCCACACCCTCTCCAGCATTTATTGTTTGTAGATTTTTTGATGATGACCATTCTGACTGGTGTGAGGTGATACCTCATTGTAGTTTTGATTTGCGTTTCTCTAAGGATTAGTGCTGTTGAGCATTCTTTGATGTGTTTGTTGGCAATCTGTATATCTTCTTTGGAGAAATGTCTGTTTAGGTCTTCTGCCCATTTTTGGATTGGGTTGTTTGTTTTTTTGATATTGAGCTGCATGAGCTGCTTGTATATTTTGGAGATTAATCCTCTGTCAGTTGCTTCATTTGCAAATATTTTCTCCCATTCTGAGGGTTGTCTTTTCATCTTGTTTATGGTTTCCTTTGCTGTGCAAAAGCTTTTAAGTTTCATTAGGTCGTATTTGTTTATTTTTGTTTTTTGTTTTTTATTTCCATTTCTCTAGGAGGTGGGTCAAAAGGGATCTTGCTGTGATTTATGTCATAGAGTGTTCTTCCTATGTTTTCCTCTAAGAGTTTTAATGTCTGGCCTTACATTTAAGTCTTTAATCCATTTTGAGTTTATTTTTGTGTATGGTGTTAGGGAGTGTTCTAATTTCATTCTTTTTCATGTAGCTGTCCAGTTTTCCCAGCACCGTGCTAAGTGTTTTTTATTATCCTTTATTTAGCTCTTGCAACCACTCTATAAGGTAGATGCTATTATTATTTGCTCCCCTGGTGTGCCAGAAAGCCTCCAGGTTGGTCACAACTCTTTCTGGGCTCAGCATGTAAGGGAAACTTCACCCACATGATAGCCAAGAAGTGTCAAAGAACACAGAAAAGTCAGAAGAAACCAAGACATCTTGGACCACTAGATGATTCCTGGCAGGAAAGGTAAGGCCCTGGGTGATATCCCTTCCCCTTAACAAATCTGAATCTCTGGGCCTGCTGAAATTCTGTATGCCTGACGTACAGTGTGGCATTTGCAGGGATTCAGGGGGGCACCTCGGGTAGGATACCCAGGGCAAACTTAAGACATTTAAGGAATGTTGGTGGAAATGCTTTGTGATTGCAGAAAATGTTCTCCTTGCCTTTATGTGTGTTTTTGGCAGAAAGAGAATATTAAACTGGGACCTTGTGTCTCAAAAGGTCCAGGACAGGTATACTGAAAACCAGGGACTTAGAGATGAGATGAATTAGAAATGAATAGTCCCACTGCAGCCATGCAAACACAAATATACCTCATTTTATGCAACAACTGTATTTTCTAAATCAAATTATATTTTAAAAGTGTTAGGGAGGTGAGCTATTTAAAGGAACGCAACGGTGAAGCCTTTTTGTAATACGATTAATTACCTCCTGATAAATCTGGATTTTTCTTATATTAGGTTTGCCCATCTGTTCGGCTTTGTTAAGTAGACAGCACCAAAATGGGCTCTCCTCCCAGACTCCATCTCCCCAGGGGCCTGAGAGTTAGGTCTTCTGAATGATAAGTAAAATGCCAGAGCAAATGGTGGCAGGAAGTACTTATGCGTAGTAGGTGCTCAGTACATATTTAGATAATGAATAAGATGCCTGGATTATTTTATTCAAGGCTGGCTGATGTTGTGACGCCACTCTGGAGGCTGAGCCATGAACAGCTCAAGGTAGGTACCCAGCTTAAGTCTTCACTCCTCCATTCTATCAGGTGCTAGACTTGTAGGAAGCTTGGCTGAACAGGTCTACCCAGATGCCCCAACGTGTCCTTAAACTCAATATGCTAATGACTCTGAAATTTTCACTTTAGGCCAGTTATGTCTTCCGAACTCTAGAGCCTTATATCCGAATGCCTGTTTCCTTTCTTCCTTGGTTTTTTTGGGGGTTATTCTTACAGCTCTGTGTGTGTGAGTAGCAAGTGCTCTTGCTGCTTCATGTATAGCTGCACTTTCCAACACAGTAGCCACTAGCTACACTACATGTGGCTATTTAAATTTAAATACAGTCAATTCTGCTCTAATGCTTGTTTTGAAAATGAAAATTTGTTCCAACAGATTGATGTATTAGGGAACAATTTGAACAAAATGCAGATTTCATGTTTGCTTAGGAGTGATTCTGTCCACGAGAAACATGAGATGAAAGGGGATCTGTACCCGGCCAAACTGAGCTGCATAAGAATTTGTAAAATGAGCACCCACACACATCTCCCAGCTCCCTCAGATCACTGAGTGTGGTATGAGCCACACCCATTCACATCTGCTGTGAGAACTTTCTGTTCCACCCCCATAACCCTCCTTTCACCACCTCATGATAACTCATAAGTGGACAGCCACTTCCACAGGCAAGTTTCAGGTCTTTGTCAGGGTAATGAGCCATCCTTATTGTAGTGTTTATACATTGCTTAACATGTGCAAAACTTTTCTATGTTTATTAATTTCCTAACTTTTTTGTGTGTGTTACTGAAAAATTTTTGGAATGTGTTTGCCCAACCCCATTTTCCCCTGAGCCCTGAGCCCTGTGATTTCTTTTGAGTAATTTTGCATAGTATGGTTTAGGAATGCTTGTGTCGCGTGATGGCAGAGCCGACTGTTAATTAAAATGAAATAAAATTAAAAATTCGTTTCCTCAGTCACATGAGTCACATTTCAAGTGCTCAGTAGCCACCTGTAGCTAGTGTAGGCTGCCATATTACATAGAACATAACACCAATTGAGAACATTTCCATTATCACAGCAAGTTCTACTGGACAGCACTAACATATAGCTGGAATGTTCAGTCTGAAAGGTCAGATGAAATGGTGAGCTTACACAAGAGCTCACTTGACCTTTTCCCAGTACCTCATTAGGTCTGTTGCTGTTACATCATTCTGAGATCCTTATCTGCTGAGACCATGACCCAAGAATCCGTGGGACAACCTTCTCTTATCCTGTTTGTTTTCTATTCTTTGAGGTGATACTGCAGAAGTCTTTTGTTTCACTGGTTATATTCTTTTGCAGGTGAAATTTGAAGCTCAGAAGAAAATTTTACAGAGACTAGAATTTTACCTACAAATGCTCAATGGAGTCAATGTGACAACAGCTGCACCCAGATCTGAGGGCCTCTGTTGTTTTCTCCATCCTATTATACCTTCTGTAAACCCCTACTTCCCTATCCTTTATCTACCGAGTCTCCTTAATAGCTAATACTATCAGCCAATACTTAACCAGGCACTTGCTGGGGACCAGGCCCTATGCTAAGTGAGTTACATGTATCATTGTCTTGTTTACTATTTACAGTCACACTGAGGGATAGACAGTGTCATTTTACAGACGAATACTTGAGGCTCAGAGAGATTAAGTGATTCGACCAAGGACACACATCTAGAAAGTGCCAGAGCTAAGGTTTACACTCAAGTTGATCTGATGCAGAGCCCACTTTCTCAACCAGTACGCTACTGCCTCCTTAGACAGATTCCAGACTTTGGAAAACTTCTAATGAGGCCACAGAAAGGCAGAATTTAATTTGTGGCAGAGGTTGGCAAACTATGGCCCTAAGGCCACATCTGCTCTGCTGCTTGACTTTGTAAATAAAGTTTTATTGGAACACAGCTGAGCTCACTTGTTTATGGATTGTCTATGGCTACTTTTGCACTACAGTGTCAGAGTTGAATAGTTGTGACAGGGACCGTATGGCCTGCAAAGCCTAAAATGATTTACTGTCTGGCCCTTTATTGAAAAAGCTTTCTGACTCCTGCTTTATGGCAAGATTGGAACTGCTTTCTCCTATGGAGTGTCTATGGAGTGTTTTGATCTTCTCAGTCATGGAATTTCACCTATGCCATACCTTCCAAGCAAGCATCATTTATTTTTTCTCATCCAGAGAACATTCTTTCATTCTTTGTATTGTCTTCCTTGGTTTTATTTGACCTGTTGTCCCTCTCCTGTCCTTCTGCCTTCTCCAGCCTGTCATCAGTGGCTACCGAAATAAGTCCACCCTCTCTGTGAACTGAGGCCCAGATGGCAATCCAAAGACTGTGGGGTACTACCTGGGAACTTGGAGAGGTCAGTTGAAGGCTGCGACTAGTAGAAATAACCAAACAAAAACTGAGAGGAAAGGGGAGGGTGCATAGAACAGTGTCTGTGGGAGTGGAGAGGAGTGGGAAATATGGTGGCCCTAAAGGAGAAAGTTGAATTGGAAGCCTTTGATGCAGAGCATGATCACAAGATTAATTGGAGATGTGGTATATATATACACAATGGAATATTGCTCAGCTACAAAAAATGAAATAATGCCATTTGCAGCAATGTGGACCTAGAGATTATCATATTAAGTGAGGTAAGCCAGACAGAGGAAAACAAATATCATATCATTTATATGTGGAATCAAAAAAAATGATACAAATGAACTTACTTGCAAACCAGAAATAGACCCACAGACATAGAAAACAAACTTACGGTTACCAAAGGGGAAAGTAGGGGAGGGATAAATTAGGAGTTTGGGATTAACATATACACGCTACTATATATAAAATAGATGACCAACAAGGGCCTACTGTATAGCACAGGGAACTGTACTCAGTATTTTGTAATAGCCTATACAGGAAAAGAATCTAAAAAATATATATATATGTATATGTATATATATATACATATAAAACTGAATCACTGTGCTGTACACCTGAAAGTAACACAACATTGTAAATCAACTATACTTCAATTTTAAAAAAGGCATTAAAAAATAAGATTAATTGGGGATACTTTTTGGTGAGTAGTCATTGTATTATAGTGCTAGGAATCAACCTCCCCGCCCCCCAGCTTTCTTCCTCTAAAAGCCATATGCCTGAGACCTAGTAAGCACTTCATAAATATTGATGCTGGTGCTGCTGGCCTCATTATCATCATTGTTGTCAACATCGTCGTCATCATCATTGTTATCATTTTATGTTACTTTCTGTACTGGGAGCAGTCTCCTGCTTATTAGAGACGTGCCCTTTCTATTTCACATCCCCATATCCCTGAAAATTAAGAGCTTTCTGCGATAAATCTGCCTTAAAAGAACTGGTAGGGGAGGTGAGTGCTGGTGAGAGAAATCACAGTGGCATATTTCTGAGACTTAATTCCAGTATCCATTCCCAGATTCCATTCCTGAACTTATCATTTGCCCATTTTCAATAAATCCACTTGAAACACCATCATTTTATATTAGTCACACTGTTTAATATCCATATGCCTTAAACTACAGTTCATTAGGGTAGGCACTTGGCTTTCTTTTTTTCCCCTGTGTGCTGAATTAAATGAGTATATGACATCAGTGTTCTGTTATTCACTAACAGAAAAACAAAACCCATTACATTTTACTTCCCTCTTAAAATCTGAACAGAAAGCAGACATTATCATATTGCACATTTGTGGCATGAGAGAAAATATTGCGGACTAGCTCCATTAAGAATAAGCTTTTTAATGGCCAGACCAGGAAACAGGTTTTCTCTGAAAAATGGCCTTGAGCATGAATTAGGTACTTTGCTTCTTCATATTTGCATATGCCTCTTTGGATTAGGGGATTTGAGTTGCTAGACATTTTATTCTAAATAATCTTTTAGGAAGAAAACCATGTAAATCAAATTCTTTTTCTTTCCATAGACAGGAACATGGTCTGTGTACGGTCTAACCATCTGAAAAACATCCCCAAGAAACACAGTCAAGTGGCACAGGTAATAAGGAACAAAGGCTGGTTGAAGATGACCCCAGGCATTGCAGTCTATAACGGCAGCATGCCTGATACTTTAATCATAGAGCTCTTCTAGTGCTACAGGGGAGGAGGGGTTCTGTTCTGAAAGTGTACTTCTTAACGGTGGAGAGAACATTGCTAGTGTTTCATTTCAGAGAGGGTGGAGAGGAGGAGAGAGAACTGCATCCATTATTGCAAATGTCAAGCATCCAAGGAATTTAATACAAGGGAAATTTAGGACAGAGAGATACTGATGAGGGCAGGATAGTAAGTGGCAGGTGTCTGTATTTGGAAGGCTAGTGTTTTCAGCAGAACAAGGTTGAAACATATCATGAGAGATGTGGGAGTGGGCGTAAGGCATCTACATCATTAGATTGGCCTCTGAGACATTTTAGTATCCCTCTATTTCATGTACCCACTACTTATTGAGTACCTACTATGTGTCAGGCACTGGACTAGGTGCTGGGGATCCAGTGGTGATTCAAACAAACATGGCGCCTGCCCTCCTGGAACTTAAAAGAAAAAGGAAAAAGAAACAGGGCTTCCAACTGACATACTTGTTCCCTGTTTATACTTACAGCACCCATCCTCCTAATGATTCAGCTTTCTGACACTTAGGGTGGTGCCTTCTCATAGGACACATCTTGACCTCAAAGATTTCCTGGCTAGAACACAGCTCCCATCATAGGATCATTCTCTGGAAATCTTCCTGCATGACCCTTGTCAGCTTCTTCTCCCATTGTCTTCAGTGACTATTCCAAACTCTTACCTCTCCTCGAATTTCCTATCCCATCACATTTACCCTTGCTCTTGACAGATGGCTGTGCCTGGTTCTTCACTGGAAAATTAAGACCAACAGATGAGGATTCCCTTAGCTGCTTCCCCTACCATCTACCAATTTTGCTGAAATCTTACCCCTCCTTTCCCTCCTATCTCAGTGAAATGCTGTTAGTCTTCTACCTGTCCAAGGCTATTCTTCTTCCTTGAAACACCATCTTAGACTCATCTCCTCTCTCCCCAGGTCCCTTATTCCTTTGTTACATTCCCTCTTTCTCCCGTTTCTTTACCTACTTTTCTCCACCTCTACCGGCTCTTTTCTTTCATAAACATATTCAATTAAAAAAATCTGATGGTTCTTGCCTCTGCCCCCAACAATTCCTAGAAATTAATCTTGACAAATTCATCACTGAGCTCCGTTTTGCCAAATTAAATGGAAACTTTCTGCCCCTAACTTACTCACCTTTTCTCTGCCTTTGGTACCACTTATTATTCTTATTTTCCTCCTTGGGAACACTGTCTTTGTTTGGTTTCTGTGATACCATTCTCTGATGGTTTTCCTCCTATTTCGCTGGCCACTTCTTAGTCGTTCTCATGGGATCTTTTTCTCCCTTTCTTTCCCACGATAAGTGTTGGTATCCTCCAGGACTCTGTCCTTGGCCTTCTTTTTGAATATATTCATGGGAGATTGCACACCACTGTAGCTGATGATTGGAATGACCACCTGTAAATTGACAACTCCTAAACTTATATTTGCATACCAGCTCCATCTTGAGCTTCAGGAGGTGGGGTTCCAAAGGCTACCGAACATCCTCACCTAGTTTTCCTGTAGAGCTCTTCAAATCAGCATTGGCCCATATCCAGATTTCTCAACCTTCGCACTATTAACATTTTGGGTTGGATGGTTATTTATTGTGTGGGGCTATTAGGTGCACTGGAGGATGTTTAGCAGCATCCGTGGCCTCTGCCCCTAGAGGCCATGAGTTGTGACAACCAAAAATGCCTCCAGATATCTCTTGTGGGGCACAATCGCCTCCGGTTGAGAACCATTGCCCTAAACTAAATTTACCCTCTCCCCTTTCCAAATGTGCCCTTTTTTCTCACGTTAGTAAATGGTAGCAATGTGTACTAGAAACATATGTCCTCTTAGACTCCTCTGTCTTAATTCTACCACTTCCTCCTCAGCCACATATAATAAATCTCCACGTCCTTTCAGTTTTCCTTTCTTTTTTTTTGTTTTCTTATTTATTTCGTTCAGTTTTCCTTTCTAAAAGTACTTTGACTCTACCCTCTTCTTTCTATTTCCACCACCATCATCACCACTCCAGTCCAAGCAGCTGGTCTCTAGCATCTGTATTGTTATGACTGTAGATATTCACTCCTGAGCCAAGTAGATGTACTAAGATTTTGTTTCCTTTATTGTACTGTTTTTTTTCTTTCATTTTATGTTGTGGAAAATTACAAACGTGTAGAAGTATAGAATGGTATAACAAACCCCATGTACCCATTACCCAGCTTCAGTAACTATCAACACATGGCCCATCTTGCTTTCACTATACTCTCACCCACTTTCCACCAGCCTCTTTGGATTTGTTTGAGGCAAATTCCAGACATTATATCATATAAGATATAAATACCACAACATGAGTTTTAACAGAAAGGACTTAATTTTTTAACATAGTTTCATACCATTGTCACACCTGCAAATAAACATTTATCCCATAATATCATCAACTACCTAGTAAATGTTCAGATTTGGCACTGTTTTATCTCATAAAAAGCTTAATTGATATACTTGGCTTGTTCAAATCAGGATTCAAACAAGGTATATACATTGCATTTGATTAACATGTCTCTTTAGCCTCTTAATTTGTAAGTACCTCTCCCTATTAATTTTTTTGTCCCTGCAATTTACTTTTTGAAGAAACTGGTTTGTTTTCCTCTGGAGATTCTCCCATTCTGGATTTTGCTGATTGAATCCCCTTGATATCATTGAATGTTCTTCCTCTATCCCCTGTATTTCCTCTAAGCTGGTAGATCTAGAGTGTTGATCAGATTCAGGTTTGATTTTTGGCAAGAATGTTTTTATATGTAGATGTCTAATGGGCTCTCTTTCTTGGTGATGTTAACATTGAACAGCGGATTTAGGTGTCATCAGTCTGATTCACTCATTGAAAAGTTCCCTGTCAGTTTTTCGCTTAATGGTTTAGCTGTCATTAGTGATCAGTGCCTAGATCTCTTATTTCGGGGGGGGGGGGTTGCAATGCAGTTCTGTTCTAAATCTATTATTTATTAGCTGGAATTCTTCTAGAAATAACTTTTCCCTATCAACCCTTTGGTTACTCTAAGGTACTCTTACAGGAAAGGCAGGATAAATCCTTGGTTCTTTCACCTTCCTCAAAAGATGATCAGTTAATGTGTTTGTTTTGGTATCATTAGGAACTCATAGATTTTTAACATACTTGATATGTTTCAATCTACTGCAGATACTAGGGGTTTTTTGGTACTCCAATTACTCCATTTTTGGCCAATTAAAGGCAGGATAAATCCTTGGTTCTTTCACCTTCCTCAAAAGATGATCAGTTAATGTGTTTGTTTTGGTATCATTAGGAACTCATAGATTTTTAACATACTTGATATGTTTCAATCTACTGCAGATACTAGGGGTTTTTTGGTACTCCAATTACTCCATTTTTGGCCAATT